TCAATGGCATTCAATGGAAAACAATTGCAATGTCAGTACACAAGTTATATGAGCTGAATAATTTGTAGTATAAACACTAATTTTTAAATTGATTAAATTAAATTGTTATGCAACTAATTGAGCTGTGGTCCTGGAACCAATTAATCTTATCTATGTCAATTAAAATCAAGAGCTAGCATAGTACATGCTAATTTATTTAACATATAAAGTTAATGAAAAAGTAAGACACTACTTGTCACTGGCATTAGCGCATCATTGCTTATAGAGTCAATTTAGTGTATACCTTTATTATACACCCACAACTTAACTACGAGACCTACGCTTCAACACAATGGTACCCACAAAAAAAAATCAACATAACAGAAAGGTTTAATTAAATCAGTACATTAGAATTTTTAACTTGCAACCTTGCATTTATGTTGTGAAAAAATCCCTTGAATTTCTTTTTACAGTCACTACTGAATGACTTACTAATAATTAAAAAGTAACTAGTAACATAAAGAGACACTAGTAACATAAAGAGACATTAAATGAAATAAATGTTAAAGCAGCTTGCCATAGCGAGTGTGTGAGAGAGATTGCTTGGTTAAATTGATGGTGCTGCATCAATCAGGGGGCGTGACTAAATAGACCCTTTCCCATGAGCCTGACAGATTAAAAAGGAGGAAAGCAGTGTTTGTGTGTGTGAGAGAGAGAAAGCATGTTTTTGAGGAGAGGTCACAGGACAGATTTTAGCAGGGTAGATATACTGACCGTGTACACTAAGCCAAAGGCACATGGTCCTCTAAAGAAAGAGGGGGGAAACACACTGTTATATGAATATCTGACCTTCTTTCTTACATTGAACATTCTGCAACATGTTCATGCAGCTCTTTTCTGTACTGTCCACCACATGATCCAAAAACCTATTATATGGGTTCTAAAGATTTTCCTAAAGATTTTTTGGAGCACAACAAACCCTGGTCACTATATACCTCCATTTTAAGGAAAAGAGCTAAAAAAAATTTTTGTTGTGTTTTCCACATAATTGTATTTTTGTTTTTGGGAAATGTGTGAGCTGTTCCTTTAAGTCTCCCCTCAGACACTGACAGCCATGCTGATTATTATCATATCATTTATTCTCTCTCATTCTCTCTATCTGTCATTATTTCGGCCATAATTTTGGTAAAAGTCTTACAATTAAAAGTCTGTGATACGATACATTACTCCCTAAGCAAAACCAGAGCAGATGTCTAATTTGGGCTCCATTCTATCTCTCATCAGTCAGTGGGTAATTGGCTGTTCTTTACTTATTTTGCACTGTCAGACTTCAGTGGCTAAATTTATACTCAGTTATTTGTGAGGTAAAACTTATCCAAATTAAACAGGGAGATTTCTCTCATACCAGTACCTGGCTCTCTGCAACCTGGATCAGCTACACTTGTACATCAGCCAGAACATTAATCACTAGTTCACCAACAGTTTACTCCTGGAGATATACCTTCCTGCAGAGATTAGCTCCAACACTAATTAAACACAACTGAACCAACAAAATCAGCAGGTGTGTTGACTGGGCTGGAACTAAACTCTTTAGTAGATATCCAGGAAAATTAATGAGTTACAGTAAGGGCTCTCTTCTATTTTAGGCATGACAGTGTAATTGATTGATTGACTGACTGACTGACTATTTTTGAAAGAAATTAACACTTTTATTCAGCAAGGATTGATTGACCAAAAAAAAAAAAGATAGATAGATAGATTGACCAAAAGTGACTTTCACTTTACAAAATAGTTCTGTTTAAAATAAATGCTGTTCTTTTCAACTTACTGTTAATCAAAAGATCCTGAAAAATGGTTTTCACAAAATATTAATGAGATGTTTCTTGAGCACCAAATCAGTGTTGTAATGATGCTGAAAATTCTGCTTTGCCATCACAAGAATAAATGACATGTTAAAATATTAAGATAAAGGACAGTTATTTTAAATTGCAAAAATATTTCACATTATTACTCTTTTTACTGTATTTTTGATCAAATAAATGCAGCCTTGGTGAGCATAAGAGACATCTTACAAACACATCAAAAAATCTAACCAGCCCTAAACTTTTAACCGCTAGTGTATAAAAGAAATTAGTATTAAACTAATAAATAACTTGCAATTAGAGACAAAAAGTCAGTCAAACCATGTACGCCATCATAATTTAAGACTGCCAAGGTCCAAATAACACAATATACTTGAAAAAGCTACTCTGGATTCAGCCAAAGACATTATTTCTTCATCAGACTGTATTTCTCAATATGAACTAAAGAGCTTACTGAATAAGCAGCAGCACATACCAATATGAATTCAGATTACATTACTTGAAAGATTAATCAATTTCATCTTGGGTGAATAGAGTCATATTTACAAAGAAATAAGGCTGCAAACACTCGTGCCACACTGTAAAATAAAATGCAGCCAATGTGAACAGTGACCGCTGTTAATACTAAAGGCATCGCTAGTGAGTATACTTATGTCCATGTGTAAGATTGATGCTAATGGTTAGTGCATGTGCGTGTGTTAATGGGTAGCACCAGTGGGTGTTTAAGTAAATGATTCACTTTGTTAAGTGTGTCTAGGGATGTTTTTTAGACTCTGTCAGTCACATTAGGTTAGATAGATCACACGTCTAAATGCTCTGATTATACGATTAAGCATGTATATATGCGTGTGTGTAGTCATGGGTGTTTGTGTCTGTGTGCAGGTCCACGTCTCTGAACCCACCGTAAGCAGCAGGGTTTGTGTGTCTACAGGGATGTGTTTCATCTGCCTTGTTTTCATGTAGGTGCAAGTTCGCTTCATTAAACTGATGTGTTTAATGATCAATTCACACACGGGGCTGACTGACCGGAACGCCTTGTGTCTTTCTGTCCTCCTTGTCTCGTTGCTTTAGTCTGTGTGTAGTGTGTGTGAAGGCAGGACATGGCGTCTAACTCTACCACTAAATTTTTTGCCCTTTCCCAGTCTTTCAGCGTATCTGATATCATTGTAATTGGAGCATATTTTTTATTGAACGTCGCAGTTGGAATATGGGTGAGGCGTATTAGTGTATTTTCAGAACTGTGTGTTTGTATTAATTGTAAATAACATTAGTATTTAAATAATAGTTCACTAATAATTTATATATATATATCAGTTTTGTATAAGAACATGTGGATGTAAACTGCAAATACAAAGGAAACTATTTAAAATGGAACATCTATGATGTTAGAGTGGGAAATGCAACTTCATTTAAATTTTGCATAAACTGTTGCGTGTTTATGTATGTGTGTGTGTGTGTGTGTGTTTCAGTCATCTTGCAGAGTGAGCCGAAACACACTAAGTGGATATTTTCTGGCTGGCAGAGACATGGCTTGGTGGCCGGTGAGTGATAATTAATGTAAACTGACCCAATTGAAGCATTTTTTTGTAGTTATGTTTATTTATTTTTAACAGAGTTTACTATGGCTAAAGCCTGAAAATGAGTAGATCAAATTACAAATATTTTAAATAAACAGAAAGTCAAATCTATAAATCAACCAAAAGAAACTGAAAAATTTAAAACAAAGTGTAGCAAAGTTCATAGTTCGGGAAGAAGGAGGCGGGAACCCTCTTTGCCACACACTTTAGTCATCTTCCTCGCCTTTTCCCTTTGCTTCTCATCTTTACATTTGATTAACAACCTACCATCTCCCAACACTTTCGCCATCACAATTTCACCAATTTCCTCCTTCAAATTGCGAGTCAATGCCACCGGACTCACTTTTCTTGTATAATTTCCTTCCTTGAAACTCAAAATTACTTTAAACCCCTCGTCTTCAACCTCCCTCCTACGCACTACCCTACCTTCCTTACTCCCATCTGAACTACTGCCTTCTTTACTACTATTACTCCTAACTCGTTTGTTTCTCCGTACTTCCGTCCAATTATTTAAGTCCATATCTTCATATCCACCCTCACCGTCACTACTCCCTTCCATCCTTAGTCCAGTCACAGATCAGTTTATGCACCTCCGCGGTTTGAAAGAAACGAAGCAAAACCACTCTGACCGACACGCGCCGCAGTAGCAGGTTTCAGCCTTTCGACCGCCTCGTCTTTCACTGTCGTCCCTCCTCCTTTTTATCCTTCCGGAGCTCCTCCGTGAGACTCGAGACCGGTGAGTGGCGCAGGTGTCGCGCATTAGCAATTACTCCACCGGCCTCGCTCCGTTCCCACGGCTCTCGGCCCCGCCCCTCTCGTCACACAAAGATACACATACACGACACATTATGAAGATTCTGCGTCAAATCAAATCACTAAACAAATTTGTGACATTTATCATGTAAACTCTTTTGTACAAAAGCTCAAATGTCCAGCTTCCACTGAAGCACAAGATGCGCTTTAACATCTCAACTCATGCTGGAGAACATGATCATCAGGTTTTACTGCTGTGATTAAAGCAGACCAAATAATAAGACATTAAAATGAGTGTTAATTAAACTTTTTGTGCATATTGTTATGTATAATGTTTTTATTTATTTATTTTAACCATTTTGATTTTTTTAAACTAGTGGTTTTAAATATTTGGACCCCACTCTATATGTATCAGGAAAAGTATAGTATATTTTAGATGCTGTAACAAATCACAATTTAACTTAATCAGTTTTTTTTTTTCTTTTGCAATTCCATTAATTAGTCCTGCATAATGTCAAATAATTTTTATATTATTACATTTCCATGTAGTATCTCAATTCAAACGAGGTCACAAAAACAAATGAGGTCATACAAATATAGGCCTGTAGATAATTATTATAAATATGAGACATGTATAATAATTATATATACACGAATTAAAACAATGTTGATTAAAATAGATTAGCTGGCATGACACACTGCAGACTGCCTGATGTCATGTCAACTATCTAGTATAAATGAAGTGTGATGCTGAGTGTTGTAAATCTAGTTGTTTTATGTAGCCGTTTGAGTCCAGTTTGAGAACTGCACTAATATGTAGCATGAATGGATGCAGATTGGTGCATCTCTGTTTGCCAGCAGTGAGGGTTCAGGATTGTTCATCGGTCTGGCTGGGACAGGAGCAGCAGGAGGGATCGCTGTAGCCGGATTTGAATGGAATGTGAGTGACATAATTTTTTTAATGCCTCATTTCCATTTTCTCCCTTGCATTTATGCTAAACAAGTGCAAAATGTTTATTAGTCATAATTCGTTATTGAGCATTACTGCAAACACGAAAACAAAACAAAAGACTTCATGTAAATGCACCTGTATTCGATCAGCACTAGGGGGAGACAGAGGACCAGCTTCCGTCCTAAAACAGGAATTATGGGTGCTGAAAATCCTAGGGCAAGTTCAAGCACAAACCGGTGTGTACCGTTTTGCTACTGTTTCCGGGTTGAACGACATGTTTCCTGGAAACGGTGTGCAACGGGGTTTGAGATACGTTTTCTCTTGTTTGGTGGGTGTGCCAAAAATGTCCGCCCAATCAGCAGCAGCATGTATATAAACCACGCGGTATTAAAGATGAAGCTCCCACAATGTAATTAACATCAAAATAATTTTTAACAGAGTGTTCAACGCACCACCGTTTCCGTTTAAAAAACGTTTTGCACCGTTTTGTCGTGGCTGAACGCAGGCTTGTTCTTGGTTTTTGTCTAGACTGACGGTCCTTTCTGTCAGTCCTTTGTCAAGTCTGTCAGTCCTCAAATCCTTACAACAAGCTAAGCTTGATTTTCTAAGTTGAAGTAGATGGAAATTTTTATATTCATGATACAGCAGACCTAAAAAGTATTTGCACACTTTAATTGCCCGTATAACAGTTTGAATGTCATTGTATTAGATGATAAAATATCATACCAAATAGCATTTATTTGAACCTTTCTTGTGTTAAAAAACTGGGTAGCTACTTCAAATTGACCCCCACTGGTTTCCATGCAATTTGCCAAAAATCAACACTATGAAACACACTAACTTTAGTGTAAACAGAAAACCCAATGTAGATTTTCAAAGACTAAAAAAAAAAAAAAATTCCCATCTATTTTCTATTGTGTATAGGGTCAATTTTACGCACATATTTTCATGTTCAAAATTAGCTGCACAGACACAAAATTAAAAAATGCTTTTTTTTTTTCATGATTACTTGTAGTGACTATTTGAGCACTGAGTTGCAAATAACTACAACTATGAAGAAAAATATAACAAATAAACTTTACAAGCAAAACATTTCCAAATCTAATAATATATTATAGTTGGAACATACAGTATATCTAATAATATAACAATAAATGTGCCTTAATTTTCTAAATACTCTTTAGGGCCTCTGTATTGAAAGCAAATATAATAATGTCTCATGCAGTTTTGCTTCTCAGGTGAATTGTTTTTTAGAATGTTTAAATGTGTCTCACTGCAGTGCAGTTACACTTTCTCTCTCTATTAGGCAACTTATGTCCTGTTGGCTCTTGCCTGGATCTTTGTCCCAGTTTATGTGTCTTCTGGGGTGAGTTTTAGACGTACACCCAACCACTTATACTGATGTGCCAACTGAGCTATTTAGAATGTGCATTAATAATTGAGAACTTATGTTTAAGGCTGCCAAATGTACCATAGACTCACAGTCTCTTTCTCTCACACACAGACACACCACATGTGCTACTTTCCCAGATTTGCCTATTAATTTGCTTAGTTCATGCCATTCCCTCTGCACTTCCTGTCTCTCTCTCTCTCTCTCTCTCTCAAAGATTGTCACAATGCCAGAGTATCTGGGTCGGCGGTTTGGAGGAGAGCGAATTCGCATGTACTTGTCAGCTCTCAGTCTGATGCTGTCCGTGTTTACCAAGATCTCAGTGAGCACAAAAATACATACATTCATATGTTTTTTTTTGCCATCTCATTCACACATATACCCACAAAGCTAAAAATCAAACATTAATCTACAAAGGCTTCATTTATTGAGTCCCGTATTGCTGCGCTGGCATGTTTCTGTACCTAAGGAATTTGAAGCTGTGAAAGAATGTTTAGCTGTGTTTCAACATCTGTTTTTCACTGCAGACACACAAAAACACTCACACGCAAATGTTCAAGCTTGTTAAATGCCAAAGTTTAATATGTAGCATTAGGGGTTTGTTAAAACATATACATACTGAACTTTGGCATTTAACAAGCATTATTTGTCATTAGTCTGAGAAGTGTAATTAGTGATAAAACTACCGTATAAAAGTTTGGGGTCAGATCTTTTTTTAAGAAATTAATATTTTAATTCAGCAAGGACATATTAAAGTGACAAATATACATTTATAATGTGACAAAAGATTTCCATTTCAAATAAATGCTGTTCTTTTTAACTTTCTTTGAATCAAAGAAACCTTAAAAATGTATCATGGTGCTGCTTAATAAAAAAAATTATTTAACAATAATAATAATAAAAAGAAATGTTTCTTGAGCAGCAAATCAGCAAATATTGCCATCGTGTGAATAATTAAAAATTTAAAATATATTGACACAGGAAAAAAGTCATTTTAAATTGTAATAACATTTCACAATATTACTTTTTTATGTATTTTGATCAAATAAATGCAGCCTCATAAGCATAAGAGACTTCATATAAACAAAATAAATAAATAAATAATAATAATAAAACTAAATTTTCTTTTTTTTTGTAATGTTAGTACATATAACTATTTGACAGGTAATGTACATGCAAGAACCACTCACATTTCTTTGGGAAAAAAATCTAGAATTAGCACTGGCCATAGGGGGAAAAAAAGATTAATGAGATCATCTTAATATTTCAGCTGTTCATCATAGACAACGATGTGATAAAATGGAGAGCAAACTGAGACTTTTGCTGAAGTCTCCCACTTCTTAAAAGTTTCCTATTAAACAAGACTCCAGTAATCTCAAATGTCTTCTCTAGAGTTTCAGAAGGCATTTTACAAACTGTGCTTATATTATATGACAATATAATTTGACAAATGATACCAAAGTGAAAAAAGTCAAATTTGAAATATGTTAAGATAATAATTGATCTAAGCTATATTGTCCACATTCATTTTGTATACACTGTAAAAAAAATTCTGTAAAATTTACGGTAAAAATACGGTAGCAACATTTTAGGTTTTACGGTTTTAACTTAAATTTAGTTAAAAACCGTAATTTCATTAACTGATATAATGTTAATATACCAACCTATTGAAGTACTGAAATCTGTTTTGTACCTTTGTAATACACTGATAACCACCAAATGCAGGTGGTGATGAGAAAGTCACATGATGAACCAAAGCCCATCACAAGCAGCTTTTAAATAATAACATATATAGAAGGTGCACAGTGTCATTCACACAAACGCTAAACACCATCATGGTAACACACATGAAACTGAAATAATACAATAAACATTCATTTAACAACATTAGGTGTAACACACAACCCTAATATACAAAACTGATAAGAAAAAACATAGTTATTTAAACAAAAAAACATCAAATTTGAAATGTAACGCAGGGAATTCTGGGAATGTCAATTTACGGTTATTCACTGTAAATTATACGGTCTTTTTCACTTCCAAAAATGGTACACTACTGTAAAATTACGTATATAGTTGAGGAATTTACCGTTAACCATTTAACAGGTTTTTACTGTAGCATTTTTACAGTATTTTACCGTTAAATTCACGGCCATTTTTTACAGTGTAGCTCTATATACTCTTATGTCAACAACTCTCATCAACTGTATATCTGTTCTCCAAGCAATTTTAGGAGAAAAAATAAATCAGTGACAAAATGTGCAGTATAAGTATAAGTGAAAAAGCAACTTGATATTAAAAGTCTGTATCTTTTGCAGACAGATCTGTACTCTGGAGCTTTGTTTGTCCAGGTTTGTTTGGGCTGGAATCTCTACCTCTCCACTGTGCTCATGCTGGTCGTCACTGCCCTCTACACTATTGCAGGTTTGTATTTGCATGTATGTATTTTACTGTTCAAAAGTACCATGTATTCATGTTTTTGAAAGAAGTCTTATCGTGGAATATTATTAACATTTAAAATAATGTTTTCCATTTTAATATATTTAAAATGTAATTTATTCCTAGGATGCAAATCTGAATGACTCCAGTCTCAGTGCCACATGATCCTTCAGAAATCATTCTAATATGTTGATTTGGCATTCAAGAAACATTTCTTATTATTATTAGTGCTGAATGTTGTGGAAACTGATACACATTTTATTTCAGGATTCTTTGTTGTATTGAAAGTTCATAAGAACAGCATTTATTTGAAATTGAAAGTTGCAAGTGTCTTAACTGTCATTTTTGATCAATTGGATGCATCCTTGATAAATAAAAGTATTCAATTTATTTCACAGAAAAATATTTCTAATCCCAAACTTTTGAATGGTAGTGTCTATATATGCATTAGGTACCATAAACTAACAATAAACATACTTCTAAAGCATTTATTAATCTAGGCTAATGTTGATTTCCACATATACTAATGCGTTTTATATACTAATCAAGCTGTATAAATTAACATGTCAACAGTTGTTCATAATACATGTTTATAATACATGAATCAACAGTATATTTATAACTTAACATTAACCTAGATTAATACATAAATAAGTGGTACCACTACATTTTTCAGTACTGAGCAGTTTTCATAATTAGCACTTGCACTAAATAAGCTCTTTTTTCAACAAACAGCAGTGTAGCATGACAAAGCACAGCTTTTGATGTCAGACGGTGTTGCGCACACAGATTTACAGCCAAGTGAGCAGATGCAATAATCAGTTGTGGTCTTAAAGAAGTTTCCTCTTACACTGTAAGATGGGGTAGTGTAATGGTTAAAGCTCAGGGCTTGAAACAGGAATGTTCCTGGTTTGATAGTGTAAATTATAAAGGTACTTAACCACAGCTTTGAGTAGCACTGTCAATTGTTTGGATAAAAGCTTCTATAAAATGACTACTTATTTAAACTTCCTCACTGAAGCCGTGGTTCAGTTTATTTCTGCAGTAGTAATTATGGATTACATGACTGATTCCACCATAATTGCATAATTACTTTAATCTGCCACACTGCTGTCACTCTATTCACTGCTCTGTCTACAAGTGCTGATTCAGACTTGACCCCATTGACTCATATCACATTAAACCATCATGAGAGAATTGAGCAATACCCGCTTAGTCCTCTGTTTCTCCAGGTGGCTTGGCTGCTGTAATCTACACCGACACTCTTCAGACCTTCGTCATGATCATTGGAGCGATCATCCTCACCATTACAGGTCAGTCTATCACAGGCCTCTTCTTTTATTCTCCACTGGCACTGATCTCATGTCAGCTGTCAATGGGGGAAGTAAGTACATCTTGAAAGCAGTGCCGAAAACAGATGGTGACTGTTAGAGAACATGTTTGGCAGGCACATTTCCCGGGTTATGTAGTATACTTTCATGCATTGCATGTAAAGAAATGTCATACTTTCAGCATCAAATGCTAAACCTTACCTTGACTTACCTCTGGTGGCCTGCTGAAATAGGCAAAAATGCCTATTGATAATAACAACAAAATAAATGATAATGAAATAAGGTTCAATTATTTATCTATTTTCTAAATAGATACTTTTCAAATAAACAAACGAATCAATATTGGACTGCTATAAATGTTTTTTTCCCCCCTTGGAAATTCATTTTCCTGGTAACTTAAAACACAGATCAAATATGCACAAATTAAAATAATTGTAGAATTATTTTAAAAAGTGTAAAATTTAGAATATTCACCAAAAAAAGAATATTCAAAGCAAACAAGCTTTAATCTAAACAACTGCATTCCCCTGGCGGTATTCACATTTGGGTCGAACGCTTGTCTTTTGATGGAATTCGTTGCCTGGAATTTGTCTTTCCTCAGCAAAAGTAAAAAAAGGCAAAAACAACAACATATGTAATGTGGAGCAGATTTCACCGTGGCTGTCACAGAAATAAAAACCAGGCAACAAAGGAAATGTCCTGTAACACGGCTGTTCAGTACAGAGAAAATAATAATAATAATAGTAATAATAATAGTCCAATAGAAGGGTTTTATCGAATCATGTCAGGTTAAGGTACACTAAAACACTTTAAAACCTGCAAAGCTGGTTTGTATGGAGGTGTGGAAATGGGGAAAATCCCAATAATGTCTTTAACAACTTACAGAAAGTCATCTCTAAAGGTTTTTAAGAACCAAAAATGAAATAAAAAAAAACTTACACAGATACAAGCAAACAAAATATGAACACACACAAGTCTAAACAAGTTAAAGAAATTTAAATAATATTTTTAATTGGAATCCATTTAAAATGTACATTCCGTCATGTCATTTTGACATTACTACAAAGAACAAATAATGCTAAACCTCTACATATTACCCAAAAAGTAGTAGATTTAGCTGATATGTATTTATGCAAATGTTACAGCATTCAACAAGATTGGAGGCTACAGTAACCTGGAGAGTGTGTATTTGAAAGCTGTGCCGTCTAAGATCATCCCAAATACGACATGTCACCTGCCCAGGCCTGATGCCATGCACCTGTTCAGAGACCCTGTGCATGGAGACTTACCCTGGCCAGGCATGACACTGGGATTAACCATTCTTGCAACATGGTACTGGTGCACCGATCAGGTATGCTTCAACATACACACCCACTCTCAACAACAGATAATAAGCCTAGCCTGCTTCTAACAACACAAAGAAAAAAGCATTGTGTATAGGACAGTATTGCAAATGAATTTTGCATTATGAGTTGCATTCTGCTATAAGATATTTAATGTATCACTTGATGCCACAAAGACTGCCGTTTTAGAGAGAGATAAAGGCCTTTTAGGAATAAGATCTACAAGTCTGAATATCTTTCCACAAAAGGACCTAATTTAGGGTAGACACTTGAAATTTGATGCAAATGATAAGACTGTGAGGAATTTGCGTCAACTAATGTCTATATTAAGTCCTGCGTCACCAAAAACGTCTCCAAATGATTCAAGTATTTTCTCACAGAAACTGTGAGAATCAGTGTGCAGACTAGCATTTTTAAAATACCTTGCTCATTCAGAAAATATATATATATAAAAAATTATAAGAGTGGAAAATTATAGAAGTCTATTTGCGATAACTAACATTTTAACACTTTCCTTCTTTTAAGTACAGTGCACGTCACATCCTTAAAAACAAGCATTCTTATATTTTCAGAAATCATTAGCAGGCAAATATATATTAAAAAAATAATAATAAAAAATAAAAAAAATCCTGGAAATACTGACAGAGTTAGAGTCCCCTCAAAACCCAATAAACTTGGATTTGGTCTGGGTCTTATTACTTAGGTTCTGTGGTTGGGGGCTCAAAACTTGGTCTGGACCAAATTTCTTGGTCTGAGTCTTGGCTAATGGTCTCAGTCATGACCAGTCAATTCACAACTGCACAAAGTGGCTCTGAAATTAATGCTGCAATAAATTCAGTGTTTTTCTGAATAAGTTTGTTGAAATGGACAGGTCTTGGTCTGAGTTTAGGTCCAGGTCTAGGTCTTAAGGGTCTTGGTCTGGATCTTGGAGGGTTTGGTCTTGACTTCAACTCAAAGGCTAGTTCTGAAATCCTGTACACGCTAATAAATGTTCGGCACAAAAATATGGTCCAATTTTCTCATGCAGTTATATATGTATATATGTGTGTGTGTGTGTGTGTATATATATATATATTTATTTATTTTTTGCAATGCAATGCAATGCAAAAAAAAAAATGCCATGCAAATATTCGTGTCAGCCTGAAGAAATGCATTTTCAGGCATTCATTCAAAGTAAGATGTTCAATCGTACCAAACACTCATTTGGTGTGAACAGGCCTTGAGTCAGTCCGATCTCCTCTGATAAAACCAGGAACAAATGCAGACGTTGAAAATGAACTCACTGTCAGTTTGTACTATACCTTAACATTTTCAACGTCCTTTTCTTACAAGCTCAGACAACAGAGGTGAATGTGAAATCGTCATCACCGTGGTCACAAATCCACCACCAAATTCTTGCACTAGTCCATATTACTCAAAGGCACGTCAATAAAGAGTAAAGCTGCTAGTTTTGCTTGTCACAGTCCAGAAAATGTCAGCGTTTGTTTGAGACTGTAACACTCGTGTCAGTTTAAAGATACAGTTGAACTCCAGTTGAAAAGTGTTCAGTGGAGACTGGTGGCTACATCATTGCACATTCATGCCTTTGTACTCAATACAAAGTACTTGTTTTTTTTGTTTTCTGGGAAGAAAGCCACCATAAATCAGTTAATTTTCATTGTGCCTCTGTGTCAACAATTTATCCCCCAAAGCAAAACCCTCTGAAATTAATGCTGCAATAAATTCAGTGTTTTTCTGAATAAGTTTGTTGAAATGGACAGGTCTTGGTCTGAGTTTAGGTCCAGGTCTAGGTCTTAAGGGTCTTGGTCTGGATCTTGGAGGGTTTGGTCTTGACTTCAACTCAAAGGCTAGTTCTGAAATCCTGTACACGCTAATAAATGTTCGGCACAAAAATATGGTCCAATTTTCTCATGCAGTTTTTCTGTTCAGACCTATGTGGGGGAAAAAATGGCAGATGGGCTAAATTAAAATACAGATTCACTTAATGACAGTAGGTGGCGCTTATGGAAAAAAATGACCCAGCTTTTTTCACTGTTTCTTATCAAAATATTCTGTTTGTGAGTACCACAAAGTTGTAGCTCTATGTAAAAGCAGTGTGCCTCTGTGTCAACAATTTATCCCCCAAAGCAAAACCAGACGTGCTCACTGGAACCTTCCCCCTGAGGTGTTTGACGCTGGTGAGTTTAGATAAAGAGATCCCTAATGGTGTACGAGTCTCGACCCGTCTACGAGGGGACGGAGACTTTGTTTGAGAGGCCCGATGAGCGGGAGAGAGAGATTGAGAGTGCATGAGCCGCTGAGTGGGAGTTTGATTGATTCGCAGTCCTTCTATCGTATAGGCGGAGCTTTGTCTTCTAGGGGACCGGCCAGAGCGTTTTAGATTTTGCTGGCCTGATCCATTTGAGGGGAGGTCAGCATTCATCTTCCCCTGCCAGTACCTGTGGCCCCCGATCACATGGCCGCTGCTTTTAGGGAGTCTATAGAATACTCCAGGTTTACCAATCACCACTTTGGCCCGGCCATAAGCGTCTCGAACAGGTGACCTGGAGACCATCTGGTAAAGCTGAAAGGGAGGAAGGGTGTATGTGAGAAAGAAAAAGGATAAAAAGCCTTGAGGCATGATTTCACATGGTACAACAACAAACTATAAACTGTTCTGATGAATTTTTCAAAAAGAATTCAGTAAACAAAAAAATAATGTTGGTTGATCTGTAACTTGGCAGGTAATCGTGCAGAGGTCTCTCTCAGCCAAGAATCTGAGTCACGCCAAAGGGGCGTCCATCTTTGCTAGCTATCTCAAGATGCTTCCCATGATCTTCATCATCCTACCTGGCATGATCAGCAGGGCACTCTACCCAGGTACTACACACACGCTCCAGGTGCTGTATCCGCTAGTGCTGCAAAAATTCAGTGCTATGTCATCTTTTGTGCAAGCTTTGTCACCTTTTAAGCCTATACCTATATAAAATCAAGTCATACAAGCTTAAAGTGGTCAAGCTGGTTTTTGGTACATAGTAGCTGGTTTTTTGCTGGTCTAAATTGGACTACCAGACCTAAACAATCTTCACCAAGTTAGACTGCACTATTCTACATCAAATAGCAACCACACAAAAACCAGCTACAACCTTAAGCAGGGTAGTTTTATGCCCAAATACTAATACTACACATCATAATTAACTGAAGCATTTTAATAAAACATTAGATACTTTAGGACAAGACTAAACAGTGACATTAGGCAAATATTTGTAAGAACTATGCAAATAACAGTAGGGATGCATATTATTAAAACAATATTAAAATAAAACAATATATATTATAATAATCAATCATTATTATAATATTAATATTATAAAACAATATTAAAATTTGTCTGATTCTGTTTTATATTATCACTTATAAACAATAAATAATTGATACTATAAATGAAAATTTAAATTTTTAAAACTACAATCAATCATTTTAGATACTACAAATTTTGGCAAGTTAATTTTAATGTATATATATACATATATATACATATATATATATATATATATACACACATACATACACATACATACATGTGACCCTGGACCACAAAACCAGTCATAAGGGTAAATTTTTTAAAATTGAGATTTATACATCATCTGAAAGCTGAATAAATAAGCTTTCCATTGATGTATGGATAGGATTTCTTAGGATAGGACAATATTTGGCCAAGATACAACTATTTGAAAATCTGGAATCTGAGGGTGCAACAACAACAAAAAAATACTGAGAAAATCGCCTTTAAAGTTGTCCAAATGAAGTTCTTAGCAATGCATATTACTAATCAAAAATTAAGTTTTGATATATTTACAGTAGGAAATTTACAAAATATCTTCATGGAACATGATCTTTACTTAATATCCTAATGATTTTTG